TTGATGATATTACTCCAGGCAACTTTTTAGATTTCCAAAAGTCCAGGGTTAACACATGAGAACTCCTTATGCAGAATTTTATCATCAGCTACGAAGATGAAAAAAATAGTACTGAATGTTGAGTTCTTCTTTCTACAGTAGAAGCTTATTTCACTTTACATATTACACATGTTCCCTAAACGCTGGGTGAGAATGGAATTTTATATATCAAATCATTTGCTTCCCACACATTGAAACTAAAATTTTAGAGATGCTTTATTTTTATTTCCAAATGAAGTTCTTAATATGTTAGTTTCATGTTTCAAGGCCCGTTCTAGCTACTACTATAAAAAAGATTTAGAAATATGTATACTAGGAAAGCTCTATTTAAAAGAGCCCTGAGAGGTAAATTCTTTTGAGATAATAGTAGCAAGTTCCTAATTTATCTGTCTTATGGCTAGCAGTTTTGGTTATTTAGTTCTTTAAGCTCAGCTACTGCACATGGTTAAGATATTCAATGCAAAGCTATTATGTAAAATGGCAAAAAGGTTCCACAAGAGTTTATGGATTTATAGAATTTTATTAGAGTTTGAGAGTCACCCTTCGAGATGATTCATTCTAAGAGACTCATTTTGCAGATGAGAACACTGAGGTCCAGAAACTTAGCAACCTATGAAGGTTGCTGCCAACTTAGAGATAGAATCAAGTGTAGACAGTAATATGTGATGCAGATGTATTGAAGAATAAAGTATTTCATATTTCTTGCACACAAAAAAAGAAAGAGTAGACAGAATTGAGGTCTTCTGACTACTCTCCCCAGTTCAAGGGTTTTTACTATACCAGGAGTCATACATCTTTTTCTGTAAAGGGCCAGACAGTAAATATTTCAGGCTTGCAAGGCATGTGGTCTCCGTTACAACTATTCACCTCTGTCATTTAGCATGAAAGCAGCCAGACAACATATAGATGAATGTACATCACTGTGTTCCAATAAAACTTTACATATAAAAACAGAAATATAGATGTATTAATTTATGGAAGCGTAAAGTGCTTATGTGAGAGCTTTGGCTCCCAGACTATAGTTTGCCAACCTCTTTACTACACTACACTATTGCTATTGAAGAGCCTGTGGGTATAACACAAACATAAAACCAGAGCTTATACAAGTAGTTCTTCAAAGTTCCTAGTTTATTAAATCCTTGATAGAGAAGCTTTCTATCTACTTTAGTTTAGAAGATACACTTTAGTAAGTTTTGAGAGTGAAACGAAACAATTTTGAGTTAAGAAGACTATTCATAATCTGTTAAGATAATTAAAAATAAAGATGCAATTTTCTACTAAGCAAATTAACCTAGAAAGGAGAAGGCAGATTCTAAATCCAAAGAAAAAGGGAACTACAAGTAATTAAGTTCAATCATAACTGTAGTTAATATGTCAAACATCAAAATGAAATGCTCCTTGCCAGATGATTCTGTGTTTCATTTAAGGAAGTGGAGAACAAACAAAATGGTTAGCTCAGACTTCTGCTAAATTAAACTACTGTATGCACTTAAGGAAGTAACAAAGTTATTAAGGAACAGGAGAGCTGAACACAGATGAAACACTGACTTGAAGACAGAGCCAAAAGCCAATATCTCCTTTCTGGTGCCCTCTAACTGATCTCCATGAAGTTTGACAGGCACAAGGGCAGGGAGGTACACTTCAAAAAGTTTAAATACAAAACAGACAAGTATGAGATGTAGGGTATTGGCTTTGTACCCAAGTGGCAAGATAAGGCATAATATTTTGTGATATACTGAGGGAGCAAAACCTATCACAGGGACATACAAACACAAGTGAGAGAAGAATTTGAGAGAGGATCGTCTTACTAGGCTTTAGAACCCTGAACTCAAAACCCTACGAAGGGTGGAGAATCTGGAGAGGTTGAGGCTGAACAGAGGTGACCAAAAGGCTAGAAAATCATTTGGAGGTAGAAATGTTCAAGGATTTGGGTAGATTACATGTAAGAACTAGGCCCTAGATGACAATGAGGTAAGATCATTGATTAAATCAGAACCTCCCATCTCTCTCCATCCAGTCACAACCCAAGTTATTCAATTTAGTCAGCAGAGCCTATGATACTTAAGCATAATCTAAACACAAGTCTAAAACATGGAATTTCATAATTAAGTCAGGACATGACTAAAGGAGTCTGTGCTGTCTTCTCTGAAGAAGATTAAAAATGAGACTTGTAGTAGATATGGCTATATTCAAGAGCAACTGCATGCAATAGGTATCTGAGGAATCCTTTTGGGTCTGTGTATAAGTATTTTATAAAGATAGTCTTTTAATGTATATAATAACTTTCAAAAGCTAGACTTCCTAACTTAGGAAGTAATAAATTCTGTATTTCAGAATCAGAAATTAATAGAATTACTTTGTAAAATATAGGAAGATCAAAATCATGTCAATTATTATTTATGTAACTGTTCACACCAGAATAACAGTTTTCAGTTTTTAGAATTGACAGTGCCTTTTGGATAAAAGATTTACTTACTGCTCTGAATAGCCGGAGCCCACATCCATTCTGCTAACTTCCTGCCTCTGAGCAAACTGTCACTACAGGAGAGGACTGTATGTAAACGCTGGCTTTCATTAGAGCACAAAGGTCCTTGATAAATCCTTAGGTTAGCTCTTGTGGAATTGATAGAAGGGGGAAGGTTGCCAAGAGGCAGCTAATTAGAGCTTCCTGGCTGACCTCTCAAAAGGTGCTGTTTAGGTGTACTGTTACTTTTGGAGGTGCCAAGACTCCAGACAGCAGTGCTATGCAATAGAACTTTCCATGACGGTGGAAATGTTCTATACTCGTACTGTCCAATACAGTAGCCACCAGCCCATGTGGTATTTAGCACTTGAAATGTGGCTAGTGTAACTGAGAAATCAAATTTTAAATTTTATTTAATAGTAATTAATCAAAATTAAAATTTAAGTAGCCATATGTGCCTAATGGTTATTGTATTGGATAGTGCAGCTCTGTAAAGTACTACAAACAGCATTCCTAAACAACCTTTTTCTAGTTCCGCAAAAAGCAGGAACCCAAGAGACCAACTGGTAAGTCAGAGAAGTATGCAGCCTACAGTTTTGCAATCTGCAAAATCAGTAAGGGAAAATTGTAGGAAGTTATCAGAAATCTCCCTCAATTTCTATGTATACAAATAATAAATGGTTTTATCCGCTACACCGAGAACTCACCATTTCCTGAACGGACTGCAATCAACTTACAAATACAGAATGTTGCTTCTATTTATATAGAATTTCTTTGACATACTTCACTATAGGGAAATTTGCTTTCTGGAGGTAGAAATAATTCAATGAAGCAGAGGATGGTTTCTAGGACAGATTCCCTCCTGAGCCTTTTTCCTAGACAAACAAGCTCAGACACCCGCAGACATCCCCCTAACCCTTTCCCCCACCATGCCCCCCTTGCTCAGTAACTCCAAGCAGATGGCACCCATGGTTAGAGCACAGGTGTGCCTCCTTAAGAGACACATACCTATAGGAGACAGATTTTCCAGACAGCCCAGATCAACAGTCTGTCCCATGCATCCTAATATTCAGTCTGAACAAATATGGTCCTCATACCTAGTCCAGTGCTCAGGTCTATGTAGTTTGTAAAGGAAGTTTTGCTTCTAGAGGATTTTTAAAAACCTTAGTATTGAAATTCTAGAGCTCAGTATGAAATAAAAGGAGAAAACTCAACATATGAAATGTCTGATTGCCAAAATGGGGAAAGAAACTTTCCATCATCATTCACAGATGGAAAGTCAAATAATGAAAGGAAAATAAAAAGAAGTGTGTGGTAATTCAAATCACACGTAGGGTTCTATAAACTTTTTAAATCTATAGTTCGAAAGATAGTCTGAAAATGATGTTAACACTTTATTACTGTCCAAATAATTTTCTCATTAGGATTTGTTGTCTCCTGAATCCTACTGAAGAGGTTAAATGCCAATACGAATGTATGATTATGGAAAGGAACAATTTCTGATTGTTGAGTACTGATACTATTATAACCAATAATGAGAAGTAGTCTTGAAATTTCAAGAGAGTAAAATGAATAATGCTTTATATTCTCGCATAAAACAGTTTCACAAAACTTTCAGAATGAGAAAAAGGTTCAACTGCAAAAATAATAAACTCACTACCAAAAATACATTAAAATTTATTCTAACAGGTATAAGCCTTTTGGAAGGCAAGTTATTTATAGAGATCAGAAATCTGAAATACATGTATATACTCTGATGCCATCAATTCCAGTAGCAACAATGAATTTGCCCTAAGAATATAATCAGAGGTGTATAAAGACTTATTAATGAGAATAAAGCCAATGCAACAGTATTTATAGCTGTGGAAAACTGGAAGCAATGGCCATGTCCACCAGCTGGTTAATCAAATTACGAAATGTACTGTGATGGAATTTTGCAGAATTATTACAAGTTTGTGCTTTAATGACTCTCAATAAGGTTAACTTATCAGAATCACTCATGGGCTTTTTCAATAAACACTAGTCTAGTTCCAAAACATCCTCATCATCCCCGCACACCCATAAAAGTCCCTATACCCGTTAAGCAGTCACTACCCAGTGCCTGGCAATCACAAGTTTGCTTTCTGTCTCTATGGACTTAACACACATGAAGACCTATTCTAGATATTGGAAATACATAGACTCCTCCAATATGTGACCTTTTATATCTTTTATTGCATGTTAATATCCAATTGTCCCAGCATCATTTTTTGAAAAGACTGTTCCTTCCCCATTGAATTGTTTTGGCACTTTTGTTGAAAATCAACTGATCATAAATATAAGAATTTATTCCTGGACTCTAAATTCACACCGATACACATGTCTAACCCTATATGATGCCAGTACCACAGAGTCCTGATAACTATAGCTTTATAGTGTTAAAATTGGAAAATATAAGTCCTCCAACTTTGTTCTTTTTTTAACAGATTGTTTTGGCCATCCTTGGTCCTCTGCATTTCCATGTAAATTTTAGGATCAGTTTGTCAGTTTCTGCTAAAGCTTTGATAGGGATTGTGTTGAATCTACACATCAATTTGGAAAGAATTGCCATGTGAACAATAGTGAGTTTTCCAATCCAAGAACATTAAATATCTCATTTATTTAGATCATCTTTAATTTCTCTCAGCAATGTGAGCTTACAAGTCTTTAAATTCTTTCGTTAAATTTATTCTTAGGTATTTCATTCTTTTTGATGCTTTTGTGAAAGGAACTGTTTCTTAATTTCAAGATTATTCATTGCTCACATACATATGTATATAGAAACACAATTCAATTTTGTATACTGATCTTGTATTTTGTGACCTTACTTAAGTTGCTATTTTTAATAGATTGTTGCAGATTCTTTAAAATCTTCTATATACAGGATCATGTCATCTGTAAACAAAGTCAGCTTTACTTTCTCTCCAATCTGAATGCCTTTTATTTTGGTTTTTGGCTTGACTGTACTAGAGCCTGAGAATTTGTATTTTTAGTAAGTTCCCAGGTAATGCTGATGCTGCTGGTCTAGTGATCCCCCTTGGAGGGCCACTGCTGTAAAGAATGTGTATCACATGATGAGGAAAAGTCATAGTAATAATATATCATGTGATAGAGGAAAGTAATGGAAAGGAAGTGAATATTATATCACAAGTATAAGATCCTCTTTCTAGATACTGTGAAGGAAAAAGATGATCAAAATGGACAAAAAAATCTAAGCATAATTATTTTGGAACAAATACATAAATAGAGATTATCCAGTGAACTTTTGGTGTCCTATACATTTTTGGAAAGTCTTTAAAAATCTCAAAAATGTTAATGATATCAGTGACTGGGAAAAAGCTAAGATGCAATGGAGCATTCGTTTAGGAATTACAGTTGTTTATAAATACTGACCATATCAAAGATACTAAATATTAAAATAATAATACAACAGTAACAATAAAATGTTAATAGAAAATACTCTCTATGGAGCACTTATGACTGCCAGGTACTGTTCTAACTGCTATAATATATTAACTCATTAAATCCTTACATCCTTATGACTTAGCCATTATCATTATCCCCATTTTACAGATAAGGAAATTGAGGCACATTCAAATAAACTGTTCAAGGCTACACAGCTAGTAAGTGCCAGTAGTCAGGATTCACCCAAGGCAATGTAGCTCCAGAGCCCACTCTTTCCTATAATGCTGTACTCCTTTACTTTCTTCTTGCCACTGTCAATAAAAATTTCCTACTTCTGACTAAGTAACAAAAGCAAGTTTCTTTCTACTGCTTTCTGTGAACTTCCCTTTTAATCACTTCAAAGGAAGCCGTAATAATTTGGTCACTTCCCACTATTTGAGGAGCTTAAAAACAGTGTTTGGGTAGAAGGATGGTTACCTAGCTGTTCATCTGTGAAAATAAGTTGTGTGGTGGCCTCTGAGAGCCAGGGAAGTTGCAATCTCTGTGCGAGAAGCTCACAGAAGTGGCAGAATGAGGAGAATGAGTTTCTTGAGGAGGTATAACAAGCCTTAATCAGAGTGGCTGAATTACTCAAAGGAATACAGCCTCACCAGAAGCTGAAAAAACCTCAATGTTAACCCTGCTGATGTTCCTAATTCTAGGGTATTTGGTGGGTCTTGAAATTTTAAATAGGCCTGCAAAGGGATGTGGTAAATTCACATGACCCTCCTCTGCTGTGACAGCTTGTTCCTGTCCAAATGAATCTTAGTCACCACTTTGGTTATTTTAGGCCCAAATCTGATTCTGTGGCACTGGGAGAAATATAGCATCTGTTCCTTGTGATGGGGCAAGCCTGAGTCCCACAGTAAAAGGCCTATACTTGGGCCATGAAAGGTTCAGCCCCAGACAGGGTAGTATCACATAGGCCAAAGCAACAGAATTAAAAAGACTTTAGGGAAGAACTGAGAAAAAAGTATAATTAATCATTTCTTTGAGAAAGAAACTAACTTCAAAAATGGCTGACCAAATTTCACTTTGGATAAGATTTTTTTTCTTTTGTAGGCTACACTGGTTCAGGTGTATAGCAAAGCAAAGAAATGAAAGTCTTGGAAAATTTCTTTGGGCACCATCTCAATAATGGCAGATAAATTAATAACTTTTTTTGCTGAGGATTTTTAAAGTAAATAGAGAAGAGCCAGTTTGAGCCCCTGACTGAAAAAAAACAACTGAGAGAAAGGCTAAACTGGGAATAATCATCACCAACAGTGACATGTTAGAATTTCTCTTGCTCTATGGTACCATTCTACAATTGAACTTTTTGCAGTAATGGAAATGTCCTATATCTGCACTGTCTGATACAGTAGCCACTAGTCACATATGGTTACGAACACTTGAAATGTGCCAGTGTGACTGAGGAACTGATCTTTTACTTTTATTTAATTTTAATTAATTTATATTTAAATAACTACATGAGGCTAGTGGCTAATACGTTGGCCACTTCAGTTCTGTAGGATAATATTGTGGCCTATGTAGTTTCCCACAGTTCATACAAATGTTCTTAGAAATCTAGAGTTGAATACAATCATTCACATATTTCAGGGGTCGAATAATAATGAATTAATAATATTATTACAACTTATGACATAGCTGAAAATCTTTATGCAGAAAAGTCTTTTAGTTGGCAGGAGTTAACGTGGCTATGGAGGACAGAGCTCACTTTTAAATAGTAATCAAAGTGAGCCAAACATGAGTTAATTTTAAGACCATAATACAACAGTTTCTTTTATTGGGGGAAGGGAGGAAATGCTGTCCTGTAAGATTTTTGCACAGTGTTGAAAAGATTCCATTATTTTATTTTGGGTCTTTTTCAAAAACCTTTTAAAGTCAACTGTGCTCTTCATATGGAGTAATTACTGGGGTTTTTTGGTTATTTATTTATTTATTTGGTGTGGTGGAGGATAGGAAGTGTGATAAAAGGGAGAAAGGTACCCTAGGGAGGATAAAGAAAAAGTGAGAAAAGTGATTTGAAAATATTTTCTACTAGACCAAGGGAGTAGGGATTTTTACTGCTTTGTGATGGTTGTTCAATCCTAGTTCCAATTCTAGTTTGGTATTGTTTCCACTGAACTAAACTCACATTTTTTGGTCAAAATATTTAAGTTTGAAAAATGTGGCCTAGATTCAAATCCAACAGCAATGGATAATAATAGCAAATTATTATTTTTAAAGTAATTATATCCCAGCTATGAATTTTAAAGCTAGCATAAATCTAAATCATGATTAATATTCCATTTACTATAACTTATTGTTTGGATTTATACTTAGATACTACCTTAAATGATTAAAAAAACTGAAATCTTACTGAAATGATGGCAACTTTTAGAAGAGAGAATTTAGCCATAAGAAAATAATAGCCAAAACCAGGATAATAAAAACATTATCATCAGCTGTATCTGTCTGGCTTTTAGCTGATTTCTTTAATTTACCTTTAGTTTCCTCCTTGCATTGAATTTCCTCAGTTGCTCTACTGTTTCCGGAAGATGAATCTTGTAGGCATAACGATCTCGCTCCTACAAGAGAAGAAAGATAACACACAAAACTGTTTTAAAAAGTGAAGAAGCTTAACCTAAAATAAACAATAATGCCCAAATTGGATATGAAGGTCAAAACTTGATAGTAAAACAATTCATTTCAAGCCAATAACAAAGGGCTGAAATAATGGGCCGTGTTATTTTCAGATACATATGGCTAGGTGGCTAAAATAATCGTAATTATTATGAAGGTATGAGGTTACCTCTGACATGATCTTGTCAGGTAAAACGAGCATTTGAAAAATTAACTCCACAACTAATTCAGCATGCTGAGTTGCCAGGAATAACTGAATTTTTAAAAAAATCAGTTATCTTCAAAACTAGGACAAACTTTTCAAGGCCATCTAATTCAACCATTTCCCCACATGGGATCCCCTTCAATCCCTGATGGATGATCATTTTGTTTGACCTTGTTCAAGAGGAGATCATTACTTTCTGGCAGCCCACTACAATTTCAAGAAAGTGAAAAAGTTCTTACTCAGCCTGGGCCTTGTTCTATGCAATTGGGATAAACAAGTAATCAAAACCAACACAGATTCTGACCCTCATGCAGCTCATATTCCAGTGGGAGAAGATAAGAAAATACAAAAAAGGTACACTATAGAGTACGTTAAAAGCGTTATGGAATAAAGCAAAAAGGCAGAGTAAAGGTATACTGCACTTTAAAAAAGGGTGGTCAAAGTAGGCCTAATTGAGAAAGTGATGGCCAAAGAGTTGAGAGTGGTCTAGGCATATAGAAAAACTGATGCAAAGACTTCTCAGAGGAGGGAGTGTGCCTGAAATTTTCAATAAATAGCAAGGAGACTCGTGTGTGTGTGTGTGTGTGTGTGTAGTAAATTCTGGTTGTTGGGTTGAGAATAGACTGGAAGGAGTTAAAAAAAAAAAAAAGGGCAGGGAGACCAGTTAGAAGATTACTGCAGTAATCCAGGGGAGAGATGATGGTGGATAAAACCAGATGGAAACAATAAAAAGGGTGAAAGAAAGACAGACTCTGAATATATTTTTTGTTTTACCGAAAAAGTTTTACTGAGGTATAGTTACCATACAATTAATCGTGTTATATGTAAAATGTACGATTTGATAAGTTTTGACATATGTATACAAATATAAAACCATCACCTACAATCATAATGAACATACCCATCACTCTCTAAAGCATCTTTGTGCCTCTTTGTCACCCCCCTCCCTATCCCCAGGCAACCACTGATCTACCCTCTGTTACTTTGCATTTTCTAGAATTTGATATAAATGGAATAATACAGTATGTATTCATTATTGTCCAGCTTCTTGCACTAAAGCATAAATATTTTAACTTCATCCATGTTGTGGCAGGTATCAATAGCTCATTTCTTTTTATTGCCGAGGGGTATTCGATTATATGGTGTATTATAACTTGTTTATTCATTCACCTGTTGATGGACCCTGGGTTATTCCCAATTTTTGGCTATTTTGTATAAAGCTGCTATGTACATTAATGTATAAGTCTTTGTATGGACATATGTTTCATTTCTCTAGGGGAAATACTTAGGAGTAGAATGGCAGGGTCATTTTATAGGAATACGTTTAACTTTTTAAGAAACTGCCCGACAGTTTTCCAAAGTGGTTGTACCATTTTACATTCCCAGAGCAGTGTATGAGTTCCAATTGTTAAACATCCCCACCAACATTTGGTATGGTCAGTCCTTTTGAGTTTAGCCATTTTGATACATGTGTGTATAGGTATCTTATTGTGGCATTAGTTTGTATTTCTCTAATGACTAATGATGTGAGCATCTTTGCATGTGCTTATTTGCCATCTGGGTACTATATAAATGCTTGCAAATAAAGTCCAAGATCACATTATTTGTAACTAAAATTTCTCCTTGCACATGAACCACTTATAAAATCAATGTTTTGGTATCATGTACTTACAAAATTTATTTTTGAACTTAAATGTATGATTTTACAGTTAGTCCTGTCAAAGCTTCATCTTATTATCAGTGAAAATTCCTAAAGAATGAATATAAGCAATTTAAAATTTATTTTCTATATTAATGACTAATAGTAACAAGAGTTCCCTGGAGAGCAAAATGATCTTTTTCTTGAGTACATACAACACTTAAATGTCAAAACAGAGTGACTCCAATTTTCATTTCTGCTAGATTTTATGTGCTAAACATCTTAGAAATGATTTCATTATCTTTAGGGACTTAACCTCCTTTTCGTGCACTGAGCCAAAACAGATCCACCAATACAGAAGACAGAAGAATTTATCAAATAATTAACTAGCAGGGAAAAGGATAAAATTACTATTTTAGAACAAACAATGGAATCTTTTAACGGATTGTATAATGTTACTATTTGTGGATTGCAAATTTTAATTGTGTCATGTCTGGTGATCTTTAATTTAAACATTCACTGAAGAACAAACATCAAAATGGACTTTGCATTATTTTTTGAATGAAAATTGTTTTGGATCATGGTGAAATACAGGGGCAAAACCACAGGGAAGGTCTTAAAAACAAAAAGAAAAAAAACCCAAAAGGTACTGAATGGAATAGTAGAAAGACAATGGCTTTGGAGTCAGAAAAACTTAAGTTCAAATTCTGGGTCATTTAGGTATTAGCTGCATGACCTTACACTGTCTCAGTATCAGTTGTGCCTTTTTGTAAACTAATTTTATAGGATTGTTATGAAGATTAAATGAGATGCTGTATAGGTCCATGTTTGGTTTTCCTGAGTTTTAATAATGACTTTTATTAATCAAGACATGGAAATCTCTGATATAAAGTAATTTAGTAGCTTTTTAAAGTGTGTGTATGTGTATGTGTGAACAAATAGTTCACTAAATAAGTTTGGCTATTTTCTAACTGAAAACATGTTCCTATCACATAAGAAAAAAGGTAAAAGTGGAACAGTAAAAATTACACAGGACCAAACCTGTGACCATCTCTAATTATTTTTATTTATTCACTTTATTTCCAAAAGAGGTGAACCAAGTTACAGCATGTTTTTGAATAAAGAGTGTAAGGCCCATAAAAACCGACAACATAACGCCATTTGCAGCAACATGGATGCTCTTGGAGAATGTCATTCTAAGCGAAGTAAGCCAGAAAGAGAAAGAAAAATACCATATGAGATCGCTCATATGTGGAATCTAAAGACTCATGGACAGAGAATACAGACTTGTGGTTATCAGGGGGGTAGAGGGTGGGAAGGGATAGACTGAGATTTCAAAATTGTAGAATAGATAAACAAGATTACACTGTATAGCACAGGGAAATATACACAAAATGTTGTGATAACTCACAGAGAAAAAAATGTGACAATGAGTGTGTATATGTCCATGAATGACTGAAAAATTGTGCTGAACACTGGAATTTGACACAACATTGTAAAATGATTATAAATCAATAAAAAATGTTAAAAGAAAAGAGTGTAAGGCTGCTATGTTCAGATAGTAGCCACTAGGTGAGATATATTTACATATTTATAGAATTTAAATATAATATAGTAAAGTAATACATATTTAAATATAATTAAACATTCAGTTCTTCGTTGTACTAGACACATTTCAAACGCTACACAGCCAACATGTGGCTAGTGTCTACCTCATTAGACAGTGCAGATATAAACACTGCCCTTGTGGCAGAAAATTCTTATCAGACAGTGCTAATAGGGGGCCTTTCACTATTACTAGTACTGAGTTGAGGATAAAATCTAACTGAATTTTGCTTAAAATGAAATTGCTCAACATTTTAGGAACAACGTAACATAAAATTTTTCCACTGCTATTTAAAAAAAAAGGGGGGGATTTCATTCCCTTCCTCAGACCGTTTGTAAAGTCTTTGCATGTAGCAGAACTGAGATCAAGCCTCTGGCTGATGTCTAATGTGTATGGGTGTGTGTGTGTGTGTGTGTGTGTGTGTGGTTGGGGCGGGAGAGAGAGAGAGAGAGAGA